TGACAACAGAGCAAGCCATGTTTCATAACAACATTCTTTCTTTTCCATCTGTCAGAATTTGGCTTGACAGAGCTTAAGAAACACTCAATGTCCATCCTAAAGATGAAACGGAACAAAAATGTTATTCTAGATTTGATAGATTTTTGGCTCCACTTAAAACTTTTATAACTCATTCAATATTTGCCACAACTCTGCTATTTCCTCTTGCAGTGGGAGACTCACTAACAATGACGAGTATATAAATTGTGTGGTGGGGGGAGGGTGCTGGCAGCAGTGACTGCAGGCCTAACGCAGGCTAAGGCCCACCCTGGGATGTCACAGGGCCACGCACTGAGTGTGCGGCATGCCCTGTTCTGATGCACTGCTCTGTGGAATCTGGGCCACGAATGGAAATCAGAAGAATGGGGTGCCTGCTTCCAATGCTGGCTGAACAATGCCAGAGATGGATGCACGTGCAGTGGGTGGAGAACTGTGCCAAGCTGATAAGGATGAAAGCCCAGCTCCAACTTATGCGGAAGGCTTTCTTCGTAGATTTTTCCAGGGCAGACAACTGGCAGCCAGCCACTGCCTCCCAAGCCATTTGTTCTTTGCCTGGCCAAAGAACCCTTGATTTCCTATAGCTATTTTCCCAGGAACCACACAGAGCTGGGTGTTTGCTGATTCTTCCTGGAGGAACACATTTAGATGGAGCAGGCTGGAGAGGACGAGATGGGTTCTGGCTTTCCCACTCGGAACCTCACATATATGACGCTCTTTGGTGGAGTCTCTGTGCTCGGATCAATAGCTACGTCACTGTCTTACAGGTGAGCCAGACTTCTCCGTACCGTGACTTAGCCTGTTAGGGGGAGAGGGAACAACTGAGGGTTGGAGAGACCCCAAAAGGAAGGCTGAGCTGAGTATGCAGTTAAAGCTGCAAGAGGTGGTAGAGAACATGCCCCAACTTCTGAGCACAGTCTAGGGTGAGGCCTGGGGAGGCCACTTGTGTCTGAGAATCCGTGAGAGAGGATCCCTAACCCAGATAAGGCTAAGAGGGGCATTAAATGTGCACTTGTGTCCTCAGCATCTCCTCACCTCTGAAGTGCTCAAGATTAGCATCACCATAAGGTGGGAAGCAGTCATAGGGACACACTATTCAGATGACTTCTATTGCGTCTGATTGGCTGGGAGGAGAGTGAGAGTAGGAGGGTGAGGAGGGGGGAGATGTCTGCTTTTAGTGCTGCTCAGAGTCCCAGAGCATGTGTGCCGAGGGGCCCGCAGGAAATGTGTAGTCCACTCCCCATTTCACAGCTGGGGAGATGAGGCAGTCACCCCTGGGATACTTCGGGAAGCACAGGAAGCCTGAGGGGATGAGTAATGAGTCAGACTATGGGCTGAGCAGGTTCTGGGCCAGGATGGCTGGGTGGGCAGGCAGCAAGGAACAGAGTCTCAGGAAGTCCAGAGCAGGGCCCGTGGAGAATTTCAGAGCTGGGAGAGCTTGGGGGTCACCCAGTCCCACCTATCTCACTGGGCCCCTACGGCTGGAAGGCCACAGGGAGGGAACAGGGAGAAAAGCATAGACCTCTTAGCTTCTTCAGGATTCGGTTCTGGCCTGCCACGCTCTAAGGAAATCCTAGTGGCATGTTTTAAAAAGGCTTTCCTTATGCGTGTCTTTCTGTAGGCAGACAGCCCTTCACCCCACCTCAGATCCTTCTCATCTGTCCTGGAGCCCAGCTGCCCAGGTCTCCAGCCCAGCTTGCCCATTACCACTTCCTTGAGCAAAGGGACTTAACCTTTGTGCTTTTTAGTTTCCTAATAACAGAACTTCTCTGAAGTGTGAGAAGCTGAAAGAATAGGGGTGGAACCCTCAGAAGAGCCGGGCCCGGAGGCATGTTCCAGGGGCCCCCCGCTCCTGGGTGGCGGGTTGTGTGCTGTGCGCTGTGCCCAGGTTACGCCCACCAGCTCCCCTCCTGCTGTGTTTTCTTCTCTCCCACCCTCGGAGCTCTGTGGGCCTTTATTTATTTATTTTCCACCTCTTCAGGCCTGCTTGGGACTAGTGTTGGATGGAAAGAAAACTTATTGGGCAAGAGAGGGAACACTCAGCCATCTCTAACAGCAAACACACCTGCTGCCTTTGGGACAGTGACATCGGAGCCCTAACAAGTCAGAGCTACGAGGGGCCTGGGTGCAGACAAGCCCTTGTTTCATAAATGAGAAGACCCAGGGCCAACAGCTGAAAATGTTTGGGGTCCCTCCCTACTCCAGAAGGCCGCCCCATGTGATGAGAGATGAACGCGCACGTCTGAAAGCTGTAAAGGGTCTAAAAATGTAGTGATGGTACTTTACCTACGCATGTGCACACATGCAATAAGTACCCCACCGTGGCCTGGCTCTGGACCCAAGGAGGGCATCAAAATCATTCTCATTCCTGCCACTGCCTGCTCCCCTACAAAATCCTGTCTGCTCAGGGGCCTACATCTGGCAGCTGCTTCAAAAGAAAGCTCCCAGGGGGAACACTGCCCTGCGCTCACCACCTGCCGCAGCCACAGCTGGCATCTATCCCTCGTGGTTGTTTGCTGCTTGAAAAGACTAAATGTCCAAGGGGAGAATCCCGGCACGATGAGGCAGGGTGAGGAGAGAAACTCCAAAGTCCCTCCAATCAGACCACATGGTGACTGTCTCCTCCACAAAGCTACGCAGGGCAGGGGGCAGGGGCCATTCACAGGGATGAGGTACCTTCATTTTCTGTTGTCTCTCTTGACAGCAGCTCTGTGGGAGGGGCTGCCCCAGTGTCCAGCCTGTCAACCCAGATATCTGCCCAGGGACAAGGTAGGGGTGGCCAAGTCCCCTCCCACACATCTCTGTCCTAAGTAAGCACTTCCAGGTGTCCTGGTGCTCTGAGCCTCTGGCACCTCTCCTCCGCTGCCCCTCAGGGATGCATCTGTCTTTGACAGGCTCCCTCCCTTCCTGTTCTCCTTTTCCCTGGAGGAAGCCTGGTGGGGCGGGGGTGTCACAGTCCTGATTGGATGGCTTCTTTCCATGCTCATGCTCTCAGACATTTTCTCAGGCATGACCCTCCTGGAGCCTAATCCCTTTAACCCATCAGCAAGCTCCTCAGGGGACTGGCTGCCCCCATCTTGGCCGCTGGTGGGCACTAGGTTTACTCCCCTGGCCTCGCCTTCGCTTCTTGCCTAGGCCTTTCTGAGATCTTCCCTTTCCCCTCCCCGCCGCCCGGAGTCAAGCCTGAGAATGCACAACTAGACACAGTGGGGCACGGAGTGGGGCTGCCAGAGAACACAGACAGTTACCAGAGTGTGATGAAATCTGATCCTGGTCACTGAAGGGTTATTACTCATCCTTGGCTTCCAGGGCCCCAACCTTGAGAACTCTCTGGTCTGCATTCCCCTGGGCCCAGGGAGCTTGGAGAGCTGCCCAGCGCCCAGCACCAGCTGCAGGCTCAGACAGGGCCTGCTTCCTGAGCTGACAGGGTGCCCAGGGAGTACAGTAACCGTGACACTGAAAGTGAAGAGCTGACTGGAACACAGGGTGGGAGCAGGCTGGGGAGAGCCAAGTGGCTGCTATCCAAGGGGAGCGTCATCAAGGTGACCAGATGGCTCGCGTGGGGGGTAGGGGGGCCTGGATTCCTTCTCCCACAACGCCCCCTGACGAGCTCCACACTCACACACTTAGTTCTTTCCATTCCTTCCTGTTTCTCCTTCCTCCCTTTTGTTTTCCAGAGTTGAGAGGCATATTTCCTCTCTACATCACAGTTCAATTTTTGTGTTTTTGGCAGACGGACTTTTCTCCAGATGGACTGCTCAGCTGGCCTCATCTGCTTCTCCCAGTCGGCTGGCCCTTCTTTGGCCAGGCCCCACATCTTGGCCCTTCTGGGCTGCAGCTGCCACTCAGGCTTCTGTGCCCTCAGCTCCAGAGTGAAGGCTCTGATTCAGTACTTTGTAATGATGAAAATGCCAGTTCTTTTCAGAAGTTCAGAATTACCCCAAATCCCTCTCTGCACCTCCCTGTGGACCTTCTTTGGTTTGTGACATGGCCCTTGCAAATCACTGAGTGTGACCTTTAGGGTGTGGGTGGCATGCTACCAGGCAGTGAGTATGTGTGTGATTCGGTGACTGATTTTAACACTGATGGCAAGATCCTTTAGGACATGCCTGTGCTCTGTATTTTTAATTTAATTTTAATTTTTATTATTTTCTAATCCTCATCAGAGGATGTTTTACCCATTGCTTTTTCAGAAAGAGTGAGAGAGAGAGAGAAACATCAGTGTGAGAGAGACACATTGACTGGTTGCCTCATGCACGTGCCCCAATGGGATTGAGCCTTATGTGCCTGTGGTTGAGACTGAACCCCAGACCCTTCAATCCGAGGGCGGACACTTTAACCACTGAGCCAAACTGGTTAGGGTTACGCCTGTGCTCTTTAGCATGACCCTGCAGCCCTTCCACGAACTGGGCCACATCCACCTCTGCTGGCTTCTAGCTTCCCACTCACTTTTCTCTCTGTTCAGCCACAGTGAACTGCTTTGTGTCCAGCTCCTGTCTCCTTGCCCTTGTAAGGGCCACTGCTTTTGCCTGGACTATGTCGTAAACTCAGGGGGAATGCACCTGCTCTGGGAGTGAGTGCCCTCCTTGGTCTCTAGGACACAACACTTCCAACGAGCCCTCACAGACCGGTGCTGGGTGGTCTGTTCACTTCCCTGTTCCCTCACTGTGCTGACAGCTCCTTGAAGACAGCTCTGGGTCTTTCCCCTGTAGCCAGTACATGGCAGAGTGCCCAACAAAAAGCAGAATGAATGAAAAGTAGACCAAATACCAGGTAAGTGTTGCAGGAAAGTGTAGGCCTACCTCGTTTTACACCACTTTTGTGTTCTTAACCTGCATCCTAGATGCCCACTGACTCCCCCTGTCACCTCAGAGGAGCTCCTTTGCAAGATGTCATCTGCCCTCCTGACACCAGACAGTCTAAGGTCATTCAAACAATCAGAAGTAGCCAAGGTTGGTTGGTACCTGAGCTTGTCTGCGATGAAGATGACCCTCCTTTCCAGAAGCAGGGAGGCAAAAACACAGAGGAGGTGGCGGACGCTGAGAGAAGAGAAGAGAGACTCGAAGTCCACGTGTTCTAGCCGGGAGTCCAGCGGGCGGCACAGTTCAATAACCTGCCGGGGAACAAGAGCAGCCATGAGAGGCCAGCCTGCTCAGCCAGGCCTCTCGCATCAAATTGTCCTCTGCAGGGCTGGTCCACTGGCAGGGCAAAGGGAAAAGAGGAAACAAAAGGGGTTGGGGAAAGAAAGAACCCAGGAGACTGGGGGCAGGTACACATGGAAGGTAGCACCTGCCTCACACTCAATATGAGACTGAGGACAGTTCAGATGGAGTGGGGAGGAGATGGTGGAAGCAGTGGCCTTTGGCCCAAAATGATCAGAGGCTCTCTTATCAGTGACATATCTGAACTCCCCACATAGCTAGTTCTCTCACTGCTGAAAATGTGCTATCCTGCCCGGCCGGGCGTGGCTCAGCAGTTGAAAGTCGGCCTAGGATCCAGGAGATCGCGGTTCGATTCCCAGTCAGGGCACACGCCCCAGGTTGCGGGCTCGATCCCCAGCAGGGGGTGTGCAGGAGGCAGCAGATCAATAACTCTCTCATCATTGATGTTTCTAACTCTCTCTCTCCCTCTTCCTTCCTCTCTCTGAAATCAATAAAGATATATTAAAAAAAAAAACAGAAAATGTGGTATCCTTCAAAGCCCCACATGCGAGTATCTCTGTCTCAGGAGGAAACATGCTGGAATAGAGACACAAGCTCATGCAGAAGGACTAGCAGATCTGAGCAGCACTTTCCAGACTCGCCTCCTCTAGGAGTTTCTTAAGTGGGCCAGCCCCATCTCAACTCCTCCCTGACGTGGTGCCTTCCAGCTGGTACACTGAGTGTGTACATCTTCTCGTTCCGTACTTTGTCATGTTCCTGAAATCCTCTCCGGTCACTACTCATGCGCATGGTTTTCCTCTGTAAGTCGCTGACTCCATGTGAGTGGAGACCGGTTTCCTCTCTGCATGGCGTGCACACAGGGGCTCTCCAGTGCTAACATCCCCACGACCAAGCCCCCGGCACCTGGTGCAGGGCGGTTCTCCAGCCACAGGGAGACTGCTCCTCTGTGCTGGGAAACTGAGCTGTTCCAGAATGTCCTAGGCCCATCCTCATCCCTGCCGTCTCCACAGGGGACCTGCTTTCCCAGGGCCTTTGGGATAGAGACCAACGTCTGAGTGGGACGTGCCCTCTCAGGTCCACAGAGCCACTAAGGGGGACAGGAAGAATGCAAATCCGCTCCTGCATCAAATGCCAGCCCGGCCAAGAACAGGGACACACTTCAGCGTCTAGGGTGAATTAGAGTAGTACCTGAGCTTGTCTCCCCTGAAAAGAATCAGTTTTACATGATAAAGTTACAGAGGCGATGCAGACCAAAAACAAACAGGTTCATACACAATTTATGGATGCAATGGACTATACCAGGAAGCCAAGAATGTCCAGTGAGGGTCTCCAACCTGTGAGGCCAACATCATGCAAATAAACACCATGTGCTGCCATGGTGCAGTTCTAGGGTCGCTCTCGGGGCCAAAATCCTGGGCTGGATGGACTAGATTTAGGGTGGAATTTATGACACCCAAGGAGCAAGAGGACACCACTGAATGTGACTGTCCACCAAAAGCCAGCCCCTCAGACCACTGGGACTTGGCTGTCTGCATCACTCTTTCCCCTGGGAGGGGAAAGGAATCTGACCACTCACCTCAGTTCCTGTTCCTGGCAGGAAGTTCTTGACAACGATGGTTTTGCCCAGGGCTGGGAATGGAGCTTCCATGACACTCCTCATGAGGGGCTGTACCAGGGCAGGAGAGATGCCGCGGCGTTTTTCCACCTCATCCAAGATCTGCAAGGGCACCAAGAGTTAGGGTACCAAGGTGCAGCTCTGTTCCAGATGAAGCAGGCCTACCATGGACACTCATCAGACCAAACTTAAGAGTCTCGTTCACCCTGTGTTATTAGGCAATTCTCTCCCCTCTGTGATCATTCCCTTTGCCATGTGACTCTGTAGTTCCTCCCATGAAAGAGGTTGGTTGGGTGTCAGCCAATGCATGGAAAGATTGCTGGTTTGATTCCCTGTCAGGGCACATGCCCAGGCTGTGGGCTTGATCCCCAATTAAAAAAAAAAATTTCATAGGGAAGGAAGGCAATTCAGGGAAAAAATATCTAAAAAGGGTGCGTAGAGGAACAATAATGAAAAATGGCTGAGGAGCACTGGGCTAGTGGAATGAGTGTGCTGGTGCTAAGCCCAGGCCTTCGAGGCCTGCCTCTTGAGTTTCGGCTTGCCCTCTGTGTCTCTGCCACAGCTGTAAGAGCACACATGGGCCAGCTCACTGTGGCCCAGACCCAACCCAGACTTGCAGCCTAAAGCAGAGATCTGCAGTCCAGATCAGCCTTCCCCAGCCTACTCCCAGCCCATAAAAGAGCCCAGTGGAGATTAGCAGAGCCAAGCCTCAGCTGACCTACACATCTGGGAGAATAAATGACTGTTGCTTTCAGCCACTGTGGATTGCTACATGGCATTATTATGGCAATATTTAATGACATACCTTTCTTCAGAGATTCTGAGAGCAGTTCTTCTTACCCAGGATTCCTCTCTGCACTAAAGGACAATTTGCCATTCTAGCCATCCTTGTCCCTCACCTGAAAACAGCTTGAGTTCTAGGGATCAGTTTGCCAAAGCTCTGTTTCTGGTTCTGTCCTGAGTATCTGCAGTGTGGTCTTTGGCAAGTCGCGGGCACTACACCCTTAAAATATCCTGGGTCACAAAACTGACATGAAATCCCAGGACTCTGTCTCACACAAGCATGTCTGCATGTTTACTTGCTCCGCAGTTCCCTGCAGAGTACACAGCAACGAAGCTCATGTGAATTCCAAAGCTGCCAGTGGAAGCTGGGCTGGGGCTAACTCACATGAGCTGTTTTACTCCCAGCTTTTTCTCTTTTTTTTTCTTTTCTTTCTTTTAGAGAGAGAGAGAGGAAGGGAGAGAGTGGGAGGTCAGAGAGAGAAAGAGAAACACCTACCTGTCGCTCCACTTACTGATGCATTCATTGGTTGATTCCTGCATGTGCCCTGAGTGAGGATTGAACCCACAACCCTGGTGCCAACAAACTGCGCTAACCAGCCAGGGCTACTTCCAGCTTTCATAAGCATTTGCAAAACAACAAAGGCTGTGACCTACAGCCTTATCTCCACCTTTAAACAGACCTATGTGAAAGACTTGCATGAGTAGCAATGCATACCTGTGCTAGAACTCGTAAATGACCAACTTTAATGCAGAATGCTTACCACCAGTGGAGTGGAGGTAAGACCATGTCTCAGATTACACTGATACTACTAATTACTTCAAACAGACTTGCACAGAAGTACAAGTTCTATCTGGCAAGAGGTCACACTGTGCCAGTATAATTCAGGCTTCCTCTGAGTTCGGGTGGAGGGGGGTAGGAGGTGGACTTTTGTTTCGGAATGAATGCCTTGAGGAAGTGCTGCCTCACACCCATGGACAGTAGATGTAAGACTTCAATTCTCCAAAAGCAAGCTCAAACTGAAACAGACGCTCAAGAAGGATTTTAAATAAATCTATGGGTTAGATATTCATGTCTGGTTAACACAGGAAACAAGCATTGGGTTATATCTGATTCTTGAGATCAGCATCACATAGTGTAATAATGATCCCCTCTACACCAATGCAAAGCAGTGGGGTGGATGGGCCAACTCAATATGGCAGCTTCTCTATCTTTTTTTGTTGTTGTTAATCCTCATCGAGGATATTTTTTTCCATTGCTTTTCAGACAGAGTAGAAGGGAAGGAGAGGGAGAAAGAGAGAGAGAAACATCGATGTGAGAGACACATTGATTGGCTGCCCCCCGCACGCACCCAGGGATCGAGGCTGTAACCGAGGTACGTGCCCTTGGCTGGAATCAAACCCAAGACCTTCAGTCCGCAGGCCGACGCCCTGACCACCGAGCCAAACCAGCCAGGGTTCCTATATCGTGATATATTGGTTTGTCTTCCCCCAAAGAGGACCAAATTATATTAAGATTTCAATAGACTTAGGGCACTATCGCAATAATAAATCTCACACACGCACAACACACGTACACACCACACACATATACACAGATCATATACATACATGTATACATCACAGTGGGTTTTAGTACAGCAAAAGCAAATATGACAAATGACAATGCTTACAAGAAGAAAAGCATGGGATATTTTGGGAAGATCCTCTGCCCCTCCCATCCTCGGCTACAATGACTTTGACTCTTCCCCCTTTCCCAGTTGGCGCCCTGACCTTCATTGACTGTTATTTCCGGTCCCAGTGATAAGGGAATAGCAGCGGCAGTGAGGGAGGAGGAAGAGGAAGCGGGAAGGAAAATAGCGGAGAATTAGATTATAAAAGTACCGGAAGTTGGGGTGTTTCCTGTGTCCTTCTGGGCCCTGCCTCCTTTCTCTGAGGCCCAAATCCTCACCTTTGAAAAGAGGCTGAAGCATCCCAGGCGGCTCACGATGCAGTAAACTTCGGGGAGGCGCTTCCCTTTGCCACCAGGCTTTGGAGAGAAACAAGGAAATCACGAGTGCTACCAACATCAGGGAAGGAAAGAGCCCAAGTGTCTTTAGTGCCTACTGCGTGGTTGATGTTTTCATCAACCTTTGGACAACGCAACGAGGGAAGCAGTTATCAACACCCTTGTATAGGTGGGAAGCACTTCTGGTCACATAGTAAATATATTTTTATCCCCTGAGGGAACCAAATCAAGTTCATATTGATCATAGTAGGTGCTCAATATGACCTGTGGAACCATAAAGTAAGAGGCCTAATTTGTTTACCTTGACTATATGTCTATTATAAGGATATTTCCAAAGGAGAGATCATTTCTGAAAATCCTTTTGGAAACTGACGTTTAAGGTAATTTTCAAACCAAAAAGAAAATCAATTCAATACTTTAATTTTACCAACAAAAATTATGATCCCACTTAACTTTTTCAAGTATTATCCATACTTTTCACTAATTAATTCAACGAATACTTATTGAACAACTATTATATTCCATGCACTATCCTTGACTCTAGATTATATTCGCTTATTTCTAAGACTAAAATCATTCTCAGTGGAAAATGATTCGTGACTACTGAAGATTTTCTTTTATGTGCCCTGACCAGCAATCAAACTCACAACTGTGGTGTATCAAGATGATGTTTTAACCAACTGAGCTACCTGTGTTAGCACAGTCAATTCACTGGAATAGTTTCTGACTTTTAAAGGTTCTTAAGGAGATACTCGAATTACCTGCATCATGAACAATAAAACCAACCTCCTTCTGCCCTTGGCCTCCATTATGAATGTTCTCTCCAAGCCACTGAGGTCTGTGTAGCACGTTTTATTAGAAAGGATGTTGGTTTAAGAAGAGGAAGTCTTTTATTTGGTGGGGAAAACATTGAGGAAAGTATTTTCTTTCCAAAGGAGATAGTCTGTCAGGAAGATTCAGCTGAGTCCCCAATCTTCCTCCATGGTCTTAACTACCCTGGTTACCCTGCCACAGCTCCTGTCCCTGCTCTTGTGTACGTGGGGAAACCTTAGGAAGCTAGCTGGCTCTGCACGGCTCTAGTGCTGACTGAGCAGCAAGTGTACTAACCAGCAGTCTTCGGCAGTAACCAAACCTTCTGCCCCCGTCTTCTCCAGTTAAGACAAATGAGAATGTTTCACTGTGGTGGGGAAAACAAAAGTATATTATAAGGCGAAACAAAACAAAGACACATCACGGTGAGCAACTAGAACATTCTGAAGGAGGCTGTCTAAAAGGGCTGCTCCCTGTCCTGCCTGTCTGTTTCTGTGCTAGGACTTTGGTCACCTCTAGCCTTGAGGTCTCTGTCAGGGATAGGGAGAGCTAAAGTGTCACTGTGTCCTGAGAGGAAATGAGGACTTTTTTTTCACCCTGAGCTCTCATATAATTCTATCACCTGAGCCATCCCAGGACATGAAATAGTCATTTATTGAGCATCAATTGTGACTACTGCCTTCCATGAGCTTGAGGGTGAGGTCGTGCCCACAGGTCTAGGGGATGCGACTCAGTGAGGAAGCAGCTGATGAGAGGGACAGTTCTGTGCCCCTTTCAGAACTGCCCTGGTGTGGCATTCCCAGGGTACTGTCTGTTCAGAGCCACCTGAGGCTTGGACTATCCTTAGAGACTGCCGGCCAACTTTGAGGAACATAGTGGCCCTCAAACATTTAGGATACACAATGTACCGAGTTTGGTCAGTTGCTGAACATTTCATAATAAAAATCCTGTATCTAACCACATAGGCTAAAGCAGAAATGTGAAGGTATCACAATCTGAGTAACAGCTGGATGGGCTACTGAAGAAACATCTTAGTGGATCTGGATAGGTGGGAGAAGGGAAATGTCTCCCTAACTTTCCCTAGACCAAGAATGACATTACTACCCTGCACAGAGGCTCATGAAGTAAACAAACCCCTAGACTGAGTGGGAGGCCTGGGAATCCGCATACTTAGCAAGGTTATTCTTATCTTCAGGGAAGCTTTAAAAACACTGGTGAGGGAAATCTCCACGCCTGGGCCCATCAGGATCGCTGAATGGTAGGCCTGACTTCCACGGTCTGCCATCTATGATCCCATCTCTAGTTCTCGCCTTAGTCTTTGCTGGTAAGGAGGGGAGATGCCAGCACATACCTGGTAAACTGCTGGACAGGAGTCCAGTCCTTGGCATCGGGGAAACAGAATTGGGGGATGGCCTTCAGCTGGTCCTCAGCCTCTCTCATGAACTTGAAAGACCTTTCCAACTGCAGGGAGAAGGGCGAGAAAAGGTTGAATAAGCCCCATCACGGGAGAGTGAGGCAGAGGTGTGGCAATACCACATCTCTCACCTTCCCGCAGTTGTGACCACCACCTTAACCCCCTTCCTTGGAAGGGTTTCCAGCTCAGTCTTCTGAGGCCTGTTTTCCCCAGGGCAGTTCTAACTATGGTCTTAGGGGTAGTCAGGAGGAAAAAGTAGTATACTTTGAGAAATGTTTTCTATGCCTAACATTCTGGAATATAACTATTTTAATCAATAAAGAAAAACTGTCATAGCAATCCCTTCTGACTAGGAGACTCATGAGTCTACAAGGCTGAGCCTCAAACCTCTGGGCCCAGGCAGAGCTGCCCCTCCTGCAAAGAAGTTGTACAACACTTCTTAGTGAATACATCCTCCAGTTACATTACATCATACAGTGAAATTCAACTCATTTCAGAGTCCTCAAATGTCAGAACTAGAAGGAAACTAGGCATCATCCAGCCTCACAGTCTTCTTTTAGAGATAAGGAATTAAGCCCTGAGATGTTATCTGTTCACGATCACACAACTAGTATGGAACTGAGCTAGGAATAAAAAATGATCTTAGCCCTGACTGGTGTGGATCAGTTGGTTGGCCATCATCCTGTGCACCAAGGGGTTGCCAGCTCAGTTCCTGGTCATGGCACATGCCAGGCTGTGGGCTCAATTCCCAGTAGGGGTCGTGCAGGGGGCAGCCGCTTATTGATGTTTCTCTCTCACATTGATCTTTCTCCCTCTCCGTCTCCCTTTCTCTCTCTCAAATCAATAAAATGTTGGAAAGAATTGTTGGTTTTTTGTGTTTTTGCTGTTGTTTGGTTTCCACTTGTTAAATTTCCTTTATAAACAGTTAAAAAATAAATTATGCTGTTATCTTCAGTAATTTGAAACATCAGATCTTTGAAGTGAGTGGAGTCTGAATTTCTGAAGTTAGGAAATTGTAATGCATAACCTAACTTCTTTCTGTAGTATTTCCATCAATTTTTTATTTGGTTTCTCATAGCTTGCCACTGACTTTCACTTTAAACCAGCTTTGTAGACACTTTCTGAAGTCTGCAGGCTAGCAGTCCTATTGACCACTTCCTGACCACCAAATGTCAAAGAGAAGGTCTTTGAAGAGTGCATCCAAAGGAATAGAGGACTAGTGATTGTCCTCAATTTCAAAACCCACCTCTGGTATGACTGCCTTTAGCTAGGTCAGATGTAACTGAAGCTGCTGCTAATATTAATGGTTGAGACACCTAACAACAAATGACACACAGTCTCCATATTACAGGCTTAAAGCCAGTGATTAATTGTCCTTTAGTTCATTTTCAGAATAAACAGTCACTATTTCTTTTCTATATAATGGTTCTCTCTTCCACCCATGACCCAGAAGATTCCAACTGGCCCTGGAACAGTCTTTAAGTTGATAACTCATTAGCTCAGACTGCTGCCAAAGCAACAATTTTTTTACTACCCTTGGATAATCTTGCAGAGAAGCAAAAACCAACTGGTATATGTTGGTAGGGAGGGGTCATTAATCATCAAAGAGTTAGACCCCAGACTATAAACAACAGAAAAGGAAGGAACCGTGGCATTCTCCATAGTGGAAACAGCATTAGCGAACTGGAGAGCAGGCCTCGCAGGGAAGGAGTTCCAGCCCTTTCAAAATGGCCAGTTACCGTTTGGATGAAGCCACCCCCATAAAACACTCACAATACACATCAATATGTGTGAGCACACATATGTCTATACACGCTGTCATCAACATGAGTTATCAACCCATATGTGCACATACATGTTCCTATATGCACATGAGCACATTTACAGGGAGCAGTACATACAGATCCCTCTCACAAATACAGTCAACATCACATATGGCTGGAAAATGTCCCAGTCTCCATGAACTATCATAAAGAGAACTGTGCGATATCAAACATCTTACGGAACATTACAATGATTCCCAACACACAAACATGAAGTATAAACCTTGATTACGGTGACTACAGGAGTGGGGCATAAAACTCATGAAAAAGGGTTAGAAAAGAGAAGGAGAGCCCGGCTGGGCGTGGCTCAGCAGTTGAGCATTGACCTAAGATCCAGGAGATCGCAGCTGGATTCCCAGTCAGGGCACATACCCGGATTGAGGGCTTGATCCCCAGTTGGGGGCGTGCAGGAAGCAGCCGATCAATGGCTCTCTCATCATTGATGTTTCTATCTCTCTCCCTCTCCTTTCCTCTCTCTGAAATCAACAAAGATATACTAAAAAAAAAAAAAAAAGTTTCAATGTGGATGTCCAGGAGTCTCCTGGAGATTCCAGGTTGGAAACCAGCATTCAACAGCTGGGACCTAGGCCTCAGTAGATGCCTGGGTGGGGATGGCAAAGGGAGGCCCTCAGAGCCAGGACATTAGTTCCCCCAACCTAAACACCCTCAGCCATGGGCCTGCATGAAACCTACAGGAGATTGTCACATGCTGGAGAGTGCCACATGCTACCTCCCAAGTCCTTTGTATGCTTATCTTGTGCCCTCCTGTCGAAGTATAAATTCCTTAAGGACAGAAAACACACTTTGCTCATCTTTGAAACCCCTGGGGCCAAGTAGAAAACATGTTGAATGCAACAGAGTCTCAGTGAATTCTTAATATATATGTATTAAACATACCTTTATTGATTTCAGAGAGAGGAAAGGAGAGGGAGAGAGAGAGCTAGAAACATCAATGATGAGAGAGTCATTGATCGGCTGCAGCCTGCAACCCGGGCATGTGCCCTGACCGGGAATCAAACCCTGATCGCCTGGATCCTAGGTAAGATGCTTAACCACTGAGCCACGCCCGGCCGGGCTCAGTGAATTCTGGTTGAACTGATTAGAAAGTGGTGGAAACTCTTTAATACTGCTGTCAAAGCTAAGAGTAATTTACATAGTACTGGCCATGCCATCTGAGGCTTTACTCAGTGCCATTTCATTTTAGGTGCCATGAGTTAATCCATGGTAGAGCCCAATCCAAAGAGCCACAAACCCTGTTAGAACAGAAGAGGCTTCGTGCGTGTCCGCACACACAGAGGTGCACGGCGCACGTACACAATGTGACACAAAGGTGACACTCCTTAGGGAGAGCTGTGTGGCTGCATGGGAAAGAGGCCTCTAGAACAGGCTGGGAGCTGTGGCTGGATAAGGAGATGGGGAGGAGGAGGAAGGTACAGTCAGCCTAGTGACCACAGCAATTCAGCAGGTATTTTTTTTGGTCAATCCTTACCAGGGCCATTTTTTCCATTGTTTTTTTACACAGAGTGGAAGGGAGGGGAAAGGGAGGGAGGTGGAGAGAGAGATACACTGATGTGAGAGGGACACATCGATTGATGGCTTCCCGCACACGCCCTAACTGGGGCGGGGATCAAACCTGAAACCCAGGTACATGCCCTTGACCGGGAATTGAACTGCAACACTTCAGTCCGAGGGCTGACACTCTAACCACTGAACCACACCAGCCAGGGGTCAGGATGTATTTTTTTTTCAGAGAGAGGAAGGGAGAAGAAGAGAGAAATATCAATGATGAGAGAGTCATTGATCGGCTGCCTCCTGCACGCCCCCTACTGGGGATGAAGCCCGCAACCTGGGCATGTGCCCTGACCGGGAATTGAACTAGATCTCCTGAGATTATAGGTTGATGCTCAAATGCTGAGCCATACCGGCCAGGTGGATCAGGACATATTTTTGACCACACTCTGAGTCCTTGGATCTCATCTCCTGGGACCTCACAAATTTTCCAGCAGCAATTTCTTCGTGATCTACCCTATTTAGGACCCAATTTTGAGATTCTGGACACTAAGTGATCCTCAGACTCCCATACCTCCCTGAATCCATGAGTTCTGCAGTCCCCGGAGGCCTGGCCCACCCTGTACCTTCAGAGGGAACTGCTGGGTGAGCTCCGGCACATAGGCGGCCCCGGCCTGCTTCTTGTGCAATGACACGACCACAAAATACTCGAAGAGCTGCCTCTCCTGGTACTCCATGAGATCCCGGTCAAGTGATGGGTATCTTGGAGCCTGCTTCAGGCGGGACTTCACATTGACCAGGCGTCGGCTATGAGCTGGAGAGAGAGTGAGCGAGCCTGAAAACAGCCCATTTTCCAATGTGCAACTGCACAGAGCTGCAATAGGGTATGTAATTCCCAGCTCAAAGTACTTTTCCTAATCCTAAAAAAGTGTTTCCACATTTAACAAATTAGTACAAACTCTTTCTTTGGGATCCTTGCCAAAATTCTGGGAGGGGCAATATTCACTCAGTCGCCAGGCTAATTGGGGTGCAGCAACTTGGAATGTGGGGCCTCTGCTCTGCCATGGCTTTGCTGTCTGGACGTGGGCTGGGCCTGGAGCAATCTTCATGTTCCTCTGTCAGATAGGGTGGGGACACTGACTCCTCCCCTCCCTCATTTCCCTCATCTTTCCAATTGTGGGATGTGACAAAATCCAAACCATACAGCTTTTGGAGCTGGGAGCTTTGTAAACATTCGTGTGACTCCACAGCAGAGACCTGACTAATTCAAGAACTCTCATCTGCCTTCTCTGCAGCCACCATTCCATGCAAGGGAAATGAGCTGGCTTTATTCTAGGTGGGCCGGAGAGCAGCTGAGCGCTAGCGGTGAATCAGGCAGGGCCACTGGGTGGAAGGGTGGGTCTCCATTGCCTCACCCGGCAGCCCTGGGCTACAGTGTTCTTTGGCTTCCACCTGGGGTCTGAAGAATTGCAGAAAATTCATTAAGCCTGACCTAAATCACAACATTTTGCTCCAAGGGACCAATTACTTCAGTGATTTCATATGTCCAATGAAGAGCCAGAGCCCTGAGATCTTAAGCGTGTTCCTCCAGATCACACAGGCATTTAACAGAAGTACGGCCAAAGCCTCAGGTGTCCGGAGTCTCAGGCCAGGGGGTGTTGTACCTCACACAGGTGTGAAACACACCTATGACATAATGGAAAGGCATGTAACAGAGGGGCCCTGCAGGTGAGGCCACGCTGGATCTCTGGAGTGGAACAGGTCCATTCTAGTCCTGCTGAGGACTGACCCGCCCCTGAGCATGCTGTGGGCCTGCTGTCCCTGTAGATGTTCACGCCTAGCCGGACAAGCTCTCGAAAGGATGCTCTGTCCTGTCCCTCATGTTAAACAGTTAGAGCCATCCTTGTAGCTTCCCAGTCACCTACATGTGCCCTGCACAGCAAGTGCTCTTCTCACCTTTCAGCTTCTCCTCGGTGTCACTGTCAGACTCACTGTTCTCATCTGTCACTAGACAAAAAAAAAAAAAGTTGCAAATGTCAGTTTTTCTGATGTAGGGAACTTTTTATAGCACAAAAAAGTGGTAGCATAAAACCAAGATTTCTAGTTCAGAAGGGCTATTTTCTTTTTGTGCATTTAAATGTAATGCGCAAATGATGTCTTTGTCCAAGAAAATGGATTTCCAAATTAGTTTGGCCCTAGATCAGATGGTATCTCTATCAAATTATACAGCAAAAGATACTGGCCCTGCCTGGCTGGTGTTGCTCAGTGGCTGACCACTGACCGAGGATCCAGGAGATCGCAGTTTGATTCTCAGGGCACAAGCCCAGGCTACAGGCTTGATCCCCAGTCGGGGGCATGCAGGAGGCAGCTGATCAATGACTCTCTCATCATTGATGTTTCTCTCTCTCTCCCTTCCTCTCTCTGAAATCAATAAAGACATTAAAAAAAAAAGAAAAAAAGATACTGGCCCCTTTTATGTGTGCTAAGCAAAGAGGACTGCTCCCATGGTGAGGTGGGAGCATGCTGCCCTGGGCTCACTGGATGGATGGACAGGGAGAGAGGACCGCAGAACAGGCCAACAAGCTGAGCTCCTGTTGGATTGTCCTAGGGACAATGGAGACATTTACAAAGCACCAGCTTGCTCTCCTGGGCGAGCCAACCCCAAGCAACAGGAATCCACTTCCAGGAAGAATCTGTTTTCAGATCCTCAGGGGAGGAGGGACGGTGCAGGGTGCTCCTACCTTTTCCTGAGTTGCTCTCCGCTGACTGGGACAGCCTCTTCACCCGTTTCTTTCCTCTCCGGGCCTCGTAAATGGCATTGATTCGCAACACCAGCTGCCAGACACCAAGAGAAGAAATGCCAGTGTTAGCAGCCTCCTCCCCATGTGCAGCTGGGATCCCTTTGCTGCCCGTTCTCTTCTGAAATGACGGAGGGCCCAAGAGAGGGGCAGGGAGGGGACATTTCCAAATGGCCCACTGGCATCTCTCAATCATTCTTTTCTGCTGGACAGGAGGACAGGAACACTACAGGAGGCTGCCATCCTCATTGATGTATGAGTGGGGGTGCCTGAATATGCTAACGCATCCAGCTGAGACACCGAGGGAGACTATTTCATTGGTGAATGGTGCGATGGCTGCTCCCTTCCTTACTGCAATGTCACTGCGGTTTGGGAAAAAGCTTCTGCCCCCAAAACAAAACTAGAAAAGGAAGAGACAGCAAAAAAAAACCCCAAAAAACAAAAAAACCCCAAAACTACTGAAGGGCCCCTTTCATGGGAACCATGCCGAAGAATGTGTGAGCAGCCCTGAGTGGGAAGGGGGCAAGGGTTATGGGGTCGTGAGTCCTCCTTAAGAGTGGTGCCGTGCACCCATCACACTGCCCTTCTGCATAGGACATTCAGGGCAGACTGGCTGGGCCTCTCATGACCTCTCCTAGTGCTTGGAGCTGAGGTGCTAGTAGATAGCACTACTCGGCAGCATGCTCTCCAGGCTGACTATTGCAGAACCATCTCGTGATCAAAGCCCTGAGTCACTTCCTCCAGGCTGCATAGCATCACCTGCAACTTTCAAGAACTGGAAACCTTCTGGGTTCCATCCAGTTGGGAAAAAGGGAAGTGTACCCAGGCAGAGTTGAGGAGAACCAACTAGTGGCTTTAAAGGGGAGCTGTGTTTGGAAGCTAACGTGAAAAGTTTTAAATTCTTTTATGCACTAGAAAGAACACGAGAGGGGGTGTGCTGTGGTGAACTGGGTGGTGAGTAGCCAGAGGGGTGCAGTGAACTTGCTGTAGCCAATCCTCATCTCTGCCCTCCACTCCTCTGATCCACTAAAATAGCTCACCAGCTCTCTTCCACCAGCTGGATCACTGGCCTGCCCAGGGAGGCTGGCTTATCTCTAGGTCTCCGTGTAGCAGGCCTGGGCCCCATCCGTCTAGCTCTGCAAACTGTTACTGATGTCCTGCTATATCCTCAGACACTTGACACACTAGCTCCTGATAGGTGGTCCAGCCCTGGCCTTACTGGGTCTCTGTCTTCACCACCAAATCCCTACCACGTGGTAGTTATTTATATTTACCCTTACACACTAGCCATTTCCTTGAACTGGCTTTCTCTTCGTGAGTATCTTAACCACTGGGATATTAGTGCTAACCCCATTTCCCATGGGAAAAACACCACATAAATGAGTTGCTAGTCACAATAGCCAGGAGTTGGAAACAACCCAAATGCCTGCTGATGGAAGCATGGATAAACACATTGCAGTACATACATACAGTGGAATATTATTCAGCCATAAAAAGGAAGAAAATTCAGACTTATACTCCAGCACGAAGGAATCTTGAGGACATTATGCTAAGTGAGATAAGCCAATCACAAAGGACAAATATTGTATGATTCCACTTATATGAGGTACTTAGAATAGGCAAGTTCATAGTAACAGAATGTGGATGGTCACTGCAAGGGAAGGAGGAATGGTGAGTATTTAATGGGTTCATAGTTTCAGTTTGGGGAGATGAAAAGTTCTGGGGATGGATGCACAGCAATGTGAATGTACTTAATGCCACCAAACTAGACACTTAAAAATGGTTAAAAGGGCAAGTTTTATGTTATGCATATTTTACTACAATTTAAAAAATATAAAATAAACAAATGAGTTGGTAGGTCCCATTGTTTTTTGGAGAGGAGGAAATTTTTAAACTCATTTGAAATCTCCCTCCAAAATATCCAAAAATAACTAGAAAGAAGACAGTTATAACGTAGTTAACATCCTTCCACTTCCTCAAATACAATGAACACAGACGGTAAGCTCCATGCAGGTGGGGATTTTTGTCACTTTTGTTTATGCTGTAATAGCACCTGCATGGGATGGAACAGTGCCTGACACACAGCAGGTACTCAGTAAATGTTTGTGACTTTGTTGATCGAATATAAAGCATCTAGTATGTACGAGGGATTTTGCCAGGAGCTGTGAGGGAGAAAAAGACATAAGGACAGGTGCCTGTTCTCAGGGAGTTCACAAGCTAACAGAGAGCACCCAGATGTATCCACAACGATCATGCAAGAGAATTCCGGAATGCTCCTTGAGCAGCAGAGTCTCGTGACAGAGGAGGACTCTCACTCTAACTCAGGTCATGCAATAAGCAGAAGCCACGCATATACTTCAGTCAATAAACCTTTGACCCTTTTTATTTAAAAATGTTTTCTCCAGAGAGGAAACTTTAAACATGCATTCGCACACTTGTCCTTTAATGGGAGATACATTTTGCTGTTTTAAAAGTGTTGTGTACTAGAAGCAGTGGCCTCTTTAGAAACTTTTTTTGAAGTTGAAGAAATATTTAAAAATATAAGTCCATTTGACAGATGTTCTGTTTCAATTTTTTTTTTTTAATTCTCACCCAAGGATATGCTTAGAGAGAGGAAGGGAGCAAGAGAGAAACATCAATGTGAGAGATAAACATTGATTGGTTGCCTTCCGTACTGGTTGCCTTCCCTATACAGCCCCCAGGTGTGTGTGTCTATGTGTGTGTGTGTGTGAACCCACAACACAGGAATGTGTCCCAACTGGGAATCGAACTGGCCATCTTTCAGTGCACTTGGCCAACGCTCAACCAACTGGGCCATTCCGGCTGGGCAAGATGGTCTGTTTCAGACAAAGAGTCATCTGATATATAATTCTGCCTGTGGTGGCTGCTAAAGAAACAGTGGACTTCACACAAACCTGCTAACGTGTGCTGAGAGAAGGCCGGATGGGTGAGCAGGCCAACCCAGCCCACATCTCATTCATTATAAAAACATCACAGTGCTTCATGAACCCTGAGGACACCACACTGCTATGCACTGAACTGCTCAGCTTCAGCTGCCATGTTAATGAAGGTACAGTGTTGCTAGGAGAATACAGAGAAGGACTGTCTTTTCCCCACTCCCCTCCGCCCCAGGGACAGTCTTTCCTCTCAGGGCTGAAGCAAGGATGGATCGGGAAAGTGTCCACATTCCCAGAAGGACTCTTACAGCAGAAGCAGCTAAAGAAAACCAATGACCCACTGTCTCATCAGCTGTGAGTAGACCACTAAGTCCCTCTTGCTAGGTAAAAACACAAATCTGAGGGTTTGGACAGCAAATGGTTGAAGGTTCCAAACCTGGAAGTCACAAATGTGCCTTCAAAGAACCTCTGACTTCAAGTAAGGGAGTGAGAGCATTTTTAAAGAAACAAAACTCAAGAGTGGGGATAAACCTAGGTTAAGATTAACTAACAAATGATCAAAAAGGATTAATAAGACTTTTCACACTGTTCTTAGGCATTTGTTTTCTTTTAGAACATCTCTGTAAAGAAGTATGTACTTCATCTTTATGATTCAACTTGTAATCATATTTTGCTGTGGTGCGATGGATAAAACATGCTGATTTTCTCTGGTTTCATTAGGCCTGTCAAAAGCCCATTTGACCCAGTGCCTGTGTGCTGTTTAAATGGTGGCAACTCCCTTTATTTATATATTTATTTTTAAATATATCTTTATTGATTTCAGAGAGAGGAAGGGAGAGGGAAAGAGATAGAAACATCAATGATGAAAGAGTTGTCATTGATCGGCTGCCTCCTGCATGCCCCCCACTGGGGATCAAGCCTGCAACCCGGGCATGTGCTCTGACCGGGAATCGAACCGCGATCTCCTGGATCCTAGGTCGATGCTCAACCACTGAGGCACGTCCAGCTGGGCGTCCCTTTAATTTCAGGCAGTCAAGTAAGAGGAAATAAACTGGTGTGCTTGCAAATTAAACATGTGGATGAAAAAGAGAGGCCACATACTAAATGGGACAGGCTCAGGTAAGGCCTGCAAGGTGGTCTTTCAACCTCAAGAGACCGTAAGTAACCATGGGATGGTCTGAACATAAAAATTCTGCACTGAAAGTGAATCACAGTGGGTCGTCATGCCCTACTCCCATAGGCCTTGGCAAAGGTCAGCCTCTACTGTAAGTGAGCCTATTGTCATTTTGCATCTAAGATAACCTACCCTTGGAATGTCAGCGTGATCACTCCTCCCTCCCCGGACCCCTCAGGGAACAGCCCGCTGGAGCCGGCGGACCAGGCAGCACTGCCTGTGCAGCGGGAGCGGACACCGTCCAACACAGAGCATGAAGGAGGGAGCACTACTGTCCGTGGCTGTGTAGGAAGATGTGGCCTTCTGGGGCTGGGCACTGGGCACAGCCTGGGATCAGGAGAGTTGTTAAGGCTGGGAGAAGGGTGAAGTGGAAGACTACAGGGCCGCAAGAACTATTACGACATGGCTTCCCCGTGCCCCCTGGCCGGGATGAGGCAGGCAGGCAAGGGCCCAGGGATCGCCCTCTGCACAGGCTCCTCGCAGCCTTCCTCATCAGGAAGGGGGGCACAGCTAGATGCTTCGCTTGCTGCCAGGCTTACCTTGGGTATCTTTCTCCTCTTCCTGCCATTCGGCGGGTCTCCGAGGTTAAAGAAAATGTCATCAGGGCTGCTGGGGGTGGAGGGGGGGCTGATTTTGGAAGGGGACCCAGTTCCATCCCGACTCAGCTTCCTAGTGTCCAGCAGTTTGAAGTTTCTCCTCTCAGAATTTTGCCGGAAAAAAGCAGGTTTGGACAGTAACTGCTGTGAGGGAAAGAAGGAAAGAGGGTAAATAACTACAAAGGGGTGGACTGGAGATTGCTGGTGGTGCCCGAGACCACGAGGCTGAGAAGGGGAGCTGGCTGGCTTCCCAGGCTCCCTTGAACTTGTCTATGCCAATAAGTGCCCATTAACACTCATCCAATTATGAAAAATTAGTATGATAAAGGAGGCAAATCTAACTCACTTTCTTTTTAGATAGGTGGGAACTCGCCTGGCTCAGTCCCTTACTTGACAGATGAGGCTTTCTGACAATCCAGACACACTGTGTACAAGGCAACACAGGACCTAAGCCTAGCTTTGACCCTGCTGCTGGCAAGCCGAGTGTCTCCAATATAAGGAATTTCACGTCTCTGGGCCTAAGTGTCTTATTTCTAAAAACAAGTTGCTTGCCCGCCCGGGCGTGGCTCAATGGTTGAGCATCGACCTAGGATCCAGGAGATCAGGGCACACTTCTGGGCTGCAGGCTCAATTCCCAGTGCAGGAGGCAGCTGATCAATGACTCTCTCATCATTGATGTTTCTATCTCTCTCTCCCTCTCCCTTCCTCTCTCTGAAATCAATAAAAAAAATATTAAAAATAAATACATAAAATAATAATAAAAACAAGTTGCTCTAAGGCCAAAAGGTGACCAAAAAACTAATAAAAAATTTTGTGTAACTCACAGAGCTCATTTTTCTAATGTATACTATAAATAAATGAAACCAACAATTCAAAAGAAAAATAGGCAAAAGAATATAAAGTTTGTAAAAAAGAAAATACAATGATTCTTAGATATATAAAAGATTCTTTTCTTTTTAAAAAATATATCTTTATTGATTTCAGAGAGAGGAAGGGAGAGGGACAGAGACATCAATGATGAGAGCCACTGATTGGCTGCCTCCTGCATGCCCCCTGCTGGAGATCGAACCCACAACCCTGCATGTGCCCTGACCCGGAATCGAGCCTCGATCTCCTGGATCCTAGGTCGATGCTGAACCGCTAAGCCAAGCTAGCCAGGCTGTAAAAGGTTTTTGGCTTTGCTCACAGAGAAAAGAAATTAAAGTGCCGCTGTAGAATTATTTTTCACTCAAAGATCAGCAAAGATGAAAAATCTGTTAACTCACTGCACTGGTAAGAGCAAGGGAAACAGTTACTTTCACACTTCCATACCCTGCTGGGGTGCCTGGAAACTGGTACAACTCTATGGAGGGCAATCCAACCGCATTAACAAAATTACAAATGGACATACCCTTTCACCTAGCAATTCCTCCTCTAGGCCTTTGCCCTACTGATATGCTCATACTCGTGCAAAGTTCTATTGTACAAGGAAAGTTATACTGTGCAAAGCATAGTGTATACTGTGCCATGATGTGTAAACACAAAATACTGGAAACAACCTAAATAAACTGTGGTACATCCATAGAGTGGAATACGATGAAGATGTAAAAAAATCTTAATGTACTGATATGGAAGAGTTTCTCACATATGTATTGTTCAGCATAAAAAGCAAGGTGTAGAACAGATGGTATACTATGCTGATATTTGTGTGTGCTTGTGTGTATGTTTTAAGGAGCTATTCTGCTGGTATATGCATAGTTCTAGAAGGATACAGAAGAAACTAACAGTGGTTTCTCTTGGGGAGAGAAAGAGAGGGTGCAGGCAAGAGGAAGACTGCACTGTATCCCTTTCATACGCCTTAAAATGTGAACCATATGACTGTATTAACTATTCACTAAAATAAGAAACACTAATAAACTATTTTGACTACATGTTCTCTAAAGGTACTTCCAAGACTCACATTTTATAAATATAGTTGCAAAGTCTCCTTTTAAAAATTAATGAATGTAAACAATAATAAAACTTAAAAGAAAAAAAAAAAGAAAAATGAGAGAAAAAAAAAAAAAATTAATGAATGAATTAGATGAGGTAAGACACCTAGCAGAGGGCCTAATATACAACAGGCATCAATGTAAGTTACTTCTCCTTCTTCCTCTCGTGACCCTTTTTCACACTCTACTGTGCACACTGCACTTTTCTTTAGTGTATTGTTTATTTTCTCTGCCTATTCATCTTTTGGGATCTCAGTGTTTTTCTTATTACTTTGGATGAGCTCTCTATAGATCAGGTATTAGCTATGTCAGTTTTACTGCAAGTGTGTTTTTCCCGTGTGGTTCATTTATATTTTTATTTTGGTTTTGTGGAATCTTTCACATAACATTTTTATATATGAAAATCTGTTCATCCTTTCCTCTGTGGAGTGATTTAATCTTTGCCTAGAAAATTAGCTTTTTAGAGGTTTAAAAAATACTTAATTCCTTTTTTCTAGATTTTCTTAGTTTATTTTGAACATAATTTATTCATTAATCCATCAGTAATTTATCTTATTGTATGTTACTCTAAATTGATTTTTCCCCAAGCTAACATCCCTATTTCATTTAATGAATGAGCCTTTAATATCATTTTATAAGCCCACAATTATCATATCTTAAACTCTCATAGAATAGGCTTATTTCTTTCCATTGATTTCTCCACTCTTGTTTAGTTCCAAGTAGTATGCAACAGTAACTTGGGGACCTTTTCTTTTTAAAGAGTGCCAGGAATAAAAAGGCTCCTAAGCCTTCCTAAGTGGCCTGCTGCAATGTTTTATCACGGTGTACAGGGAGCAATCAATTGCTGAGCACCTCAAGTTCTGAGCAGAGCAAGAGGCTGGCTGCCTGGTTTGCTCACTATGGGCACCTTAATAATTATACCAGCCTGGCTAGGCATGGCTCAGCGGTTGAGCATCGACCTAGGATCCAGGAGATCGTGGTTTGATTCCCAGTCAGGGCACAAGCCTGGGTTGTGGGCTTGATCCCCAGTGGGGGGCGTGCAGGAGGCAGCCGATCAATGACTCTCTCTCATCATTGATGTTTCTATCTCTCTCCCTCTCCCTTTCTTTCTGAAATCAATAAAGATATATTAAAAAAAAAGCACCCCCATCACCCCAAAACGTTTCCTTATAATAATAATTACACCAGCAGAAGAAATAATAACGGGCCTTCTTAAAGACCAAATTCCATGTGCAATGAAATCCAAGGACACAGCCCCAGTTCTTTCACTGCACTGGAATCTCATATCAAATTGTTGGCAAAAAGCAGGTATGTGTTTTCTTTAGAGATTTAGATTGTATAGTGTTTATTCAGAGAACATCTGACCTACAAAAAGGTCTGAGAGGAAAGCAAACAGAACGGAATCAAACCTTGGCGCAGTTTTCTAAAGGGTATGAGAGACCTGGTGGAGGCTGGGTGTGGGCTTCATCTCCCAGCGGTCACACTGCTGAAGGGAGCATTCCCCCAAAAGCCCAGATGTCCAGGGAGCTTTCACAAAGAAGTGGAATTTCAGTAGCTACTTAACTGATAAAAATAGGACTTGGTGGGCCGTGGAAAGAGCATTATCAAGTATGTAGTACAATCTGAGAATAGACATAGAGGTGCGGAAGAGCAAGTAGACCAGAGAGTGTCTTCATGGCAACAATACAACAGTGAAGACATCTCCTTGTCTGTGGAAGAGATGATACACCAACAAAGACCTCCAATTGTCTGTGGAAGGCCTTGGAAAATGATGGTAAAAATCTTGAACTTAAAAAGGGTCAGCAAGCTTTTTGTTAAAGGCTAGACAGTAAATATTTTAGGCTTTGTGGGCCATACTGTCTCTGTCACAACTACTCAACTCTGCCACTGTAGTGCAAGAGCTGCCACAGACAATATGTAAACCAATGGGAGTGGCTGTGTTTCAATTAAACTTTATTTATAAAACCAGGTGACCAGAAGTAGTCTGCCATATCTGAACTATAGACTAAAAGGGAATTCACTATAGGACACTAAACATGATTGTGGTCCAGAGATTCCAGCTCTTGGTCAACGAGTCTCACACCAACACGCCTTAAAATAACATGCTCAATCCCATTGTGTCTCTACGGAGTAACCTTTATGAAGGGGCTAGCTCTGTGGCAGAGGCCCATGGTCTCCCTAACCTTATAGATTTTTGGATTCACAATGGACCCAACAGAAGATCTGTAGTGTCCAAAAGGGAAAAGCAGACAAGGACCCTCTTTTAAAACCTCTTGAGTTATTTCAAGAGACCAAGTGTGATGGGCCCTGGCCAGGGGCACCTTGGTGGAGAGAAGAGGGCTGCAACGAAGCTATATGCCTCCCCAGAGGGAGCTGACATTACAGTAAAATGATGAAATATCATTCAAGACCTTTGTCTGGCTGGTAGAGGAGGCCGTCACAGAAGGACTGCTTCAGGAAGTTCTAAGGTTCCAGATGTAGCCCAGATGTGGCATGAATATTTGAGAAGTTAATGGAGGAAGTGGAGAAGTCTGCAGCTGTCCCAGAATGGGGGCACAAACCAGACGCCTAGATGTGGGGCACCAGAGGAAGGAGCATGGACAGAGTCCTGCTGATGAGTTGCAATGACCCAAAGAGCCTACAGGAATCAGTGGCAATCTGACATGTGCACTGGGCAACTGGATTACTTTCTAAAAGCTGCCTCTGAACTTCCAAGTTCCCACTGACATTACTGACTGCTTGTTGAGCTATTTCGGGACAGAGGACCCAGGTTTTTTCTAGTCTGGCAGGAAGGGGAAGAAAAGAGTTAAGCCTTTCTTTTCTGGCCTTAAGAAGCAGTCACAACAGAGACTGTATATTTTCTCTCTGGCCCTTTAGAGAAAGTTTGCCAGTTCTGGGCCTATTACATCAGAGGGGCAATCAGTAGGCTCTCATGGGAGGGGACCTTTTGTATGTAGGAGCTGTGTGAAAGTAGGTAGTAATGGATGCCCAGGGGTCAATTATGACGGATATTTAATGCCATGGTAAGGAATATGAATTAGGTCCTATAAGCAATGGGTTGGCACTGTCATGTATGTGAATATAGTTATACTATCTATATGTACATAATTTCAAAGGGTCAAAAAAATATTCAGTAAAAAATGTTAGTCTTCTACCCTAACCTCTGGGTACTCACTCAGGTGACTCCACAGAGGTGCCCACTTACTTAAGCGTTCTTATGTACCCTTACAGAGATCTTCCTCTACCTGCACACACACATATGTATAGTCTTTCATTAAAAAACTCCCCACAAATGGTGGCAAACAATAAAAATACTGTTTCTGAACCATGTCTTTCAGTCCTGTAGAGTTTGCTTTATGACATTATTCTTAATGGCTTTATGGCTATACACTATCTTATTTGCTTAGTTGGGGAGGTTTCTGAAACCAGGGAAGCTAAACTTTAGGAAGCTTTGTTGAGCAGAGGGTTCCAGGAGACCTAGTGGCAGGAAGAGCAGGCAGTCAGCTAAGGCACACATCTCGGAGCCTGGTGGTGAGGGTGGCCTGGCATTCCAGTGTAACCCACAGCTCCAGGCTGCTTGAGGCATGGTGCTGGCGACACCTTGCCCCCCAATACTCCCTTGGGGTTCATACCTTAGTGGATGTGTCAGGGATGGAAGAGGTGGGAGAACCAGGAAAACTCAAGACACACTTCTTTCCCAGGCAGCGACCATGTAACTCAATGTCCTCATAAGGGTTTTCCTTCATTGGCGGATCTGTGGTCAAAGGCAATGGGTCAGGAACTGGAAATGTTGAGGAAGTTTTCCTTATTGGATCTACCCAATATCCTGGCCTCTCCTTGTGGGGATGGCTGATGTTTTGCTATCCATTCATCCTTCTTTTGGTAATAGACCCTGGTTTTCACTGGGGTGTCTCCCATTCTTAGACGTGTAAGATTAATCCCACTCTGGTTTCAGGGCTTTAGCCAATCAGAGTTTCCTGAGTCCCTGTCTCAGTGACCAGCGTGGGGGGAAAGGCTCATACTTCAAGTCTAAGTCAATCACTGCATGGCATTCCCAGGCTCCGAGGGTGAACCAGGGACCTAAACTGGTCTGGTCTAGTCTGAGTGAGCCTCAGGATTGTTGCTGGGACTTGCAGGATACAGACTCTCCCTCCAGGGAGCCGATAGCAGCTATCATGGGGATCATGGGAAACCTGCTGAGAATGGAGCTAACCTAAGAGATAAGGAATGAGGAAGAAGCCAATTCTGGTCACATAAGCCAATGAACTCTCTTTGTTGTTTCTGCTGGGCTTTCTGTTCCTTGTAACGGAGAACTTCTCTGTCAGCTATACACACTGCTAAGGGGAGTCCAGATCTCAAGCCTGCTTTGGATTTAGGAAATCTACAGCTGTGGCAGGAGCCCTTCTCCAGCAGCTTGGACAGAGCAAATCACACAGTCCACAGTGTGATTCAAGCTCAGTTAAGTCTAAGCCCCTCCTCCATGCCCATGTTTCCACCGACCAGAGAGTTTTTTCTGGAATTCAGTACATGCATGCATGTATGTGTATATCTGCCCGACCTGCCCCTTGCATGTGCACACATGTGGGTTTCTCCTTCTTACCAGCTCGTTTCTTCCCCCACCCCCATCCCTGCCCCCAACATGCAGATGTTGGTCTGAGCTCACGCCTCACAGAAACTGTGATCTTCCCTGAAGATAACTGAATTTATTTTTAAAATGTTTTATTTCATTTATTGGGGTGACCTGGGTTACATACAGGTTTCAAGTGTGTAATTCTGCGATACACCATCTGTATGCCAAGCCCCCTTCCCTCTGGTAACCACCACACTGCTGTCTTTGTCTATGCGCTTTTGTCTGTCTTGTTTGTTCATTTGTTGCTTTCAGTTTTATATCCCACGAGTGAAGTCATATGGTTCTTGACTTTTTCTGACTAATTTTGCTTAGCATGATATTCTCAAGATCCCTCCATGTTGTACCAAATAGCAGTATTTCATCTTTTCTTATGTCTGAGTTAACTCACTAAATTTAAGTACATACAAACTCTGTGAATCTGAAACCGACTTTGGAATCTGAGAGAATTCTCCAGAACTAGGTTAAAGTTTCTTCAACTTTCTTCTTTCTGAATTTTGATGCCCTGTTACTGCCACACTCCTAGTTTCAGAAAGAGTATGGTGGTCTTTAGTTTTCTTTCATTCAGTAATCCCTTTAATTTACTAAGCATCTGTTACAAGCCAGGTATTTTACATGCCACTTTCTCCAGTCCTCAAACAACCCTGTAAGGTAGCTATCATCATCTTCACTCTACACATGAGAGAACTGAAGCTCAGAGATGTTAAATCACCAGCTCAATGTCATACAGCTAATAAGAAGCAGAGCCAAGATTCAAACACGGGTATTGAGGCTCCAGGTCTCCAGTGCAAACCATGCTGCACCACGCTGCATCACAGCCCTTCCTCTCCGCGCCCGCTCCCCATGCTCTCTCACATATTCCATCGTGGGTCGCTCTTCCACTCACCTACCTGCTCTCATTCATTCAAGTACATGTGTGTCTTCAAGTGTGTGTGTGTGTTTGTGTTACAAGCACTTAGCCCCATTTCTTCTCTCCCCTTTTGCAGAGACACACTCATACCCATTAGAGACATCTTGGCCTCTTACCTAGAATGTCTTCGTAGACGTTCTCCTCTGATAAAGTGCGTGTGAGCCCCAGCTTGGTCTGTGCGTACCAGTCGACCCTGCTGCTCTCAGAGGCAGACTGCAGTAAATCTTCAAACTCGTAGGACTTTCTGGGTTGTACCAAGTGGGAGAAAAAAACAACACAACCCAAGAACTTGAATTAAATTAGGCTGGTTCAGGAAATATATACCAAAAAAATTTTTTTTTCTTGCAAAAATTCCTATTACTGAAACAAACTTGGGTTTTTGTAAGAAGGTACGAAATCCTCAAATATGAGATTGGCTTTGACTTGAAAGAATGTTTATACTATTATGCCAAGTAAAGATAGCAAGCATATAGACATATAAAATACAGTCCCAACTCTGTAAGCAAACATCCACAAAGAAAATTAAAAGAAGAAACTAAAATACACAGCTGCTATCTCAGGACTGAGGGATGGCTCTTGGTTTCTCTTCACTTTTACTTTTCTGACTTTTCAAATGTCCCACAATGTTTACAGAGCACATTAATAATCAGAAAGGAGCAGCAATGGCCAGTTCAGAATGGATCCAAGGCCCAGGCACCTCCCTGTTCTCACCCACGTGGTTGTTATCAGAATGAAACCCCAAGGCCACGAGACACTCCACCCTATCCCTCAAAGATCTGTGCGAATGTGGCCAGGTCTCTGTCTGTGGCCTGGTCTACTCTATGGCTTTCTACCACCCCCACCCCCATCCTACATCCACATGGGCAATCCTTGTTCTGATGGTGTTGAACAGAATCTCTCTCTCTCTCTCTCTCTCTCTCTCTCTCTCACACACACACACACACACACACACACACAGCTACTCACCTTGAGTTTCTATGATTTTTGTAACTTTATTGAACATTTGGGAGGTCATGAGGTGGGTCATATTGTGAAACATACAAAACATCAGTCACCTCACAGGTTCCCCCTACCTCCCCCCTCTTCTCTCCCTCCTCCTTCTCCAAAGTAAGACAGAACTTTCCCTTCCTCCCACTGGAGCGGAACAGCCCTGCCCACTCAGGTTCTGTAGGCTAGCCTTCCACTCCCAAACAGATTTGTCAGGAATTTCTGCTGAATACACGTTGGCCCTTCTTGAATGGGACTTAGGAGAACATGCAGTCCCCCTCCCACACTAAACAGGACACATCCCCCAGCTGACCTTGGTCCTGGCCTTTCACTCCTCCTTGGATCCGGTCCACATGGTCACAACCCTCCTATGGCTCAGGAAGCACGGCCCTTCTCTCTTTTGTCTGCATGTGTCTACCACAATCTTCCACACATGCTGGATGGTAAACTGCAGCTGACTACCTAGAAATGTACTGTGCCTTTGTTTCTTCCCCCAGACTTCCAATCTCTCTCTGACCCTGGGGAAGGTGCCCCACTGGATACAGAGCTGGGATCCTTCATTCACAAGCCTTTTAACCTTGGACAGGCCACTTAACTGGGCTGACACTCAGTGTCCTGCTTTGTAAAATTGTCACTGCCTCATAGGATTGTCCAAACATAGAAAGGAGAATGTTTGAAAGTCCTTAGCACCTAACAAGCACTTAGGAAATGGTAGCTATTCTTATTATTGTTGTGATGTCCATTATTTATGCAGCAAACATTTTACATTGAACATTTACTGTGTGGAAGGCACTAAGCTTAGGGTTTGAGAAACAAGGAGTGACTAAAACAGAGTTCCTGCCTCAAGGAGCTTACATTCTAGGGAGGAAGACAGACATTTAGCCAGCTGGCGCACAAACAGAATTATAAAATGTGAAAAGTTCAATATTGAAAAAGAGCAGGTTGCTACAAATAAGACTATCAAGGGGGCCTCAATTCAGGTTGGGGGTGCACCAGGGAAGGCCTCGATGAGCAAGTCGCTGCTTAAGGCTGAGGTGTGAAGGATAAAAAGGGCTTACTTGGGAAAAGCGTGCCTAGGAGAGGGAAGGGCACGTGTGAAGGTCCTACGGCCTCAGAGAACTTGGCGCATTTGTGGAAATGACAGCCACTCAGCAAGGCTGCCTGCAGGGAAGGAATGGAGTGAGGGGCAATGAGATGGCAGGACCAGGCAGAGGCCATCAGCCTGCTTTCCAAGCTTTGAGGATTTCTTCCATTTTAAATCTTTTCCTCTTTACTTTCTTCCTTTCTTTTTAAAAACATGCTCAGGTTTCCTCTATCTTGAAAAGCTTTCATTTGAGGCAATGACCCTGGTAGTTCTGCTATTTCTCACCTTCCTTGCCAACATTTCTAACTGGGAGAGGGGAGGAGAAGGGGTGGAGACTAGTCTCACTGTCTGCATGTTAGTTTACCATAGTCCACTGGTTTTTCTTTCTTTTCCCCTCTCAGCCCGGCATCTCTATGCATCTCTTATCTGAAACTGTCCCCTAAAAGTCACTAGTGAGTTTCTGGTGAAAACCTAACCATTTTCTTGGTCCTTTATTTTACTTCATTGATTTTTAGAGAGAGAGGAAGAGAGAGAAAAAGAGAGAGAGAACCATCAACTGATCGGTTGCCTCTCACATGCCCCCTTCGGGGGATTGAGCCTGCAAAGTGTCCTGATGGGGAATTGAACCGGCAACCTTTCAGTGCATGGGACAATGCCCAACCAATCGAGTCACACAAGCCAGGGCTCTGGTCCATTTTTTACATGACACTAATTTTCTTTACAAGACACCTCTCAGTATCTACAGTGTAAGGCAGCAGTAGTCAATGTGCAATCCATGGCTGGGGATGGTTTGTCAACTGTGGTTACCTGTTCTTGATGAGATAAATATAGAAATTGAGAGTTGGCATTTAGAAATTTTTTAAACAATTTGACAATACATTTTAAAAAAATGAAGCTTATATATATTGTTGTCTTTTTCATTTCATTTCTCTGTATTTTATGTTTTACGATGGTTTTGTTTGGCAAAGGATTGCAAACACACGCACACGGGTCCTTGGATGGTTTGAGGAGGCCGGGGCAAGGCAGCCCCCACACTACTTCCCCGCACACAACTTTCCTGGGTCATCATCGGCAGCTCTCTTCTTCTTCCTCTTTCTAGGCTATGGGTGCTACCCAAGGCTTTTCCTCTTTAGGATCTAAACTTTCATATCTCCACACCTGAACTCATCGCCCCTTATCCACACCCCATCCCCACTCCTTTATGAACCTGAACCCGGCACTTAGGGCAGGAGCACAAAAAAGGCCCAAACTGGAAGCTTCTATGCTGGTGTCCATGGTCTTAGGTCAGGCACGAGGCTAAAAATGTAGCCTTGCCCTGGGGTCCTGGACTTACTAACAGAAGCTCATGCCCATAAGGAGAGGCTACCAATCCATGAGATCCCTTTCCCTCCCTTCGAGGTGTCCAGCCAGGAGAGGAAGGGCTGAGCTCCAGAACTCTAGCAGATGGGGTCTGGTGGTGATGCCAGTGGAGGGGAAGCAGGTCTGGGCTGTTTTCTCTAGGATGGGAATGGGCTGTGCTGTGAACCCATCCAGGACAATTCCTACTCTGGGTTGCCATTAGCCCAGGCTGGCACTCGCCAGGCATCTGATTTTAGATGGAGGTGTGGTGGTCTGTGGCCGGAGCAGAGTGAAGCCACAACTCCTAGGTTCCCCTGGAGAGCTCATCAGATTATGTTAGCTGGAGCCCTCAGCATGCCCACTATTTAGATCAGCTAGAAAAGAGGCAAACTGTTCAATGAGACCACAGACTCATTCATTCAACAACACCGACTGAGTACCAACTAAGAGCTTTCCTTGGATTAGCACATCAGACTTCAAGACGAGTGTTAAGACACTTGTGCTCTTAACAAATGGCACTGAGCAGAGCGTGCAAGTACAAGGCAATGCCTGAGAAAAGCGGCAGTCGCAGCCCACAAATTAAAACAGGCTCAGTTTCCAGAGTCTGAAGTTATGAACTTGAACTAATTTTCCATACAAAATCGTATTACATGTGACTGTGAATTACTCAACAAGCCCTTTATTTCCCTCATAATGTAACTAAATTATGCTATGAAGAGAAGCTAGAACCCTCATAGAAAAAAGGGGACAGGCAGGGGTCGCTTCCCTGGGAGCGGGGCAGTTTCTGCCACAATATCTGGGACCCCAACTCCTGACAGCAGAGGAACAGAGTGGCCACCACTTACAGGGAAAGCCTTGACTCTCTGGAGCTTGAGGATCCCCTAGCTAAGTTTGGTCTTTTCTTAGATTTCAGAAAGGGGCCACAGCTATGCCTTGCTTTGCCGTAGAGAGAGAGCGAGCTCTCTAATTGTTTTTATTTTTTAAAAATCTCATTTGAGGTACCTATGAAGCAATATTTGTATAGGTCAAATCTAAAATGAAAAATTATCATAAAGTACCTATGAATGGTATCTGAGTAATTCAAATATTTTAATAATAATAAATGCCCTAACAAAACAGATGTTTGCATGAGCTAGGCTCTCCAGGTCCCAGGGGAAGGCTCACTTACTCAGGGCATGTGTAACACAAACCTGGATTATCTGCTGGGGCTTGTTGGGATGGATTAGCCTGTATCCAAATGGCCGCTGTCAGACACCCTGGGATTTCAAGCCATAGTTTGAATGTTTTTTTACAATGCTTCCACAGTTCCAAGAACAACATGCTAAAATGAGAGTTTAGCTATACTTTGCCTTTGATTCCCAACACATAAAAGGCACTACAAGCCTAAATAGTATTAGAAAAGTGCAATTTTTAAAAATTACAAATCTCCTTAAAAAAACTGATTAGAAGGTGCTATTTCACATTGCAAAACTCTCATTTAATTTGCAGAAGAACTCATCACAAGATTTCTCCATTTCATATTAAATTGTTGGTTTTCAGGTGACTAAATCCTATGCAGGAAGCCTGGAAGACAAATTTAAATCAACATGAAGCCATGGGACATACAAAACTCAAGGAGAAACCAGAAACTGTTACATGCCGTTTCTAGAACCAGTGGGAAAGAGTTCCAGTTACGAAGTCTGAGTTATCGTGTGTTGGTAATGTATTTGCAAGCAATGACTTCACATAGCTCCTCTCAAGCACTTCTGCAATCTGCATAAGCACCTCCAAGGACCGGGGGTCCTCTGGCTCTGGGCTCAGGTGGGCGATTAGGCTCCCCGGAGAAGAAAAACATG